ATCCAGCTACAACTTCAGAGAGAATGCTAAAAACCAGAAGACACAAATACATTACAATGGAATAAATTACACACACACAAAAAAAAGAATTACCAGAAAATAGTGTATTTGCGTCATATTGTGATTTATTAAATTAAAATTAAATTATTTGGTTATTCCGTCAAATCACAATGTATTTAAAATAAGATGATTAAAATAATTAAAATATCATTCTGTGTTCCATATCGAATAATCGATTTACAGATTTACCAGATCTCGCAATTTCTCATAAATGCCCAGGGTTCATTCTCATAGTCGTAGAATACGTTTCATTTAACTGCATAAAAATTACAGGCGTTTAACTTAACGCAAAAGATTCCCTGTTCGTGACCAAAATTATGTAAATAGGTTAAAGGATTGAGAGGTGTAACGTAAAGCTGTCCCACTATACGCCATGCAGGCGCTTAGGGGAGGGAGTGTATAGCTCCTACTAATTCTTAACCTCGACACTAGATGGGGGTGAGTGGTCAGCATCACGCCCCGGCCGAATTTACTCCGGTACCCATTGGACAAGAGACTGGGTGGACCCCAGAGGCTAGAGAAAAATCCTCTGCCTCCGTCGGGGATCGAAGTGTACACATGTAAATATCATAGAATTTTATATCTCGTGATGGGAAGGTGTTGAGTCCACCCTGGCTATCCTTTATTCCCTTCAACAAAGCTCCCGGAACTCAGTGGTCACGAGGAAAGGAGTGTCCGAAGGCAGTCTGTCCCTGAGAGTAATTAAACCCTATTCTTGGAGAGTTTGAGCAAAAAAAATTAGTAATTTAGGCTCTGCAATCCTTTCCGTACAGAGTATCTTAAAGAAATGCATCCGTGGACCTGCTATTTTTCCCCAGTACAGGCATACCTCGTTCTATTGCGCTTCGCAGATATTGCGTTTTTTTATCAAATTGAAGGTTTGTGGCAACCCTGCGTCGAGCAAGTCTATCGGCGCCATTTTTCCAACAGCACGTGCTCACTTCGTGTCTCTGCGTCACATTTTGGTAATTCTCGCATTGTTTTTATAGACATAATTCTATTGCACACTTAATAGACTATAATATAGTGCAAACATAACTTTTATATGCACCGAGAAACCAAAAAATTAGTGTGACCCGCTTTATTGCGGTGGCCTGGAACCGAACCCGCAATATCTCCGAGGTACGCCTGCACTTAAAATTCAAAGTGTCCTAAAAACTATCAAAGAAATTTCCCACCTACTTTGCACTTTTTCATTTCAATTAATCGTCACTTCTTTTTAATACTAATTCACAATACACACGGCAATAAGTTAATCTATCACTTTAAGAAAAGACACGCGCACACACGGATTGATAATGTCCGAGAACGAATTGGCGAGATTAAAATCTGGAGCAAAGCGGACGATGTTATAAGTAACGGAGATCAAAGATTTAGGAATTTCACAGTTATTGTTCTCTGTGCAGGTTAGGTTAGGCTAGATTAGGTAAGGTTAGGTAAGGTTAGGTTAGGTTAGGTTAGGTCAGGTTAGATTAGGTAAGGTTAGGTAAGGTAAGGTTAGGTTAGATAAGGTTAGGTTAGGTTAGATTAGGTAAGGTTAGGTTAGGTTAGGTTAGGTTAGGTCAGGTTAGGTCAGGTTAGGTTAGGTTAGGTTAGGTTTTTGGTAAAGAATGTAGCAAACGTAAATGATCTGAGGATAACGCATCCAGCTTTAACAGAAGATCTGAAAGGAAGATGTTCGTTTATGATGGTAATGAATCTGCGATATCCATAAAAATGGATTACAAGATGCACATAAAATGAACGTGTCGTGTCTGTCGGCATGTTTAAACTCGGAAACCGCTTGACGAATTTTGAGGAATTCCATGTGCTGCTGGAGACATCGTAACTCCTACTTTTCAGTGGGTAATAACACGACGGAACTGAACTTTTTGTTTTCTGAACACCTCTCAATAAACCTTGAGAAAAATCTCGACGTAAGTTGTATATGAATATTAGACGCATAATTTATAAGTAAAGCATTTGAATCTATGATATCATCTCAAATCAGTTTCTGATAAAGACATTCCCATTTACAACTATGAGACAGATCATTCTGAATACAAAAATAATTTAGAAAATAAATGTTTTTCGTTTAGGCTTACGAATTTTACTATTTGTCTCGTTTGAACACTTCTTAAATAGCCCAGCTCAGGGCTTCAGTGGAGCCCCGGCAGGCAGTCAATGGTGTTTTTTGGAGGTCCGAGGCGCCGACCAGGCACTTAAGTCAGTGTTTCCAAATATAGGGCCACGCTGTCTAAATGCAAGCGAATGCGAGCCCCCGCATATAAGACACGGAATACGCCCCTCTAGAGATAAAACCATTAGTACGAAGTCAGACATCTTACACCTTCTATAATTCAGATTTATGTATTTAAAGCCAAAGCGTAATTTTGTTAGGGTGGGGTTCGATCCCCGCTAGGGGCAGAAGATTTCTAGCTTTTCACCCTTGTCAAAATCTTCTAGGCTTCCTTTTTCGTTCTTGCTGTTTTAAATGAATTAAGTAACAGTTAACTGCTTACGGCAAACGGCGAAGTATAAAACTGGTTTCCATAACCAACTGCATGGCCTTACAAATTTTTGTGACTGCAACTTAAATGTTCAATTAATTTTGATTTCAGGATTTCCAAGTCGGCGGAGGAATCAATGAGAACGATGCAGGTGTTAACTAATTAGTTCGGCGGAAAAGAGAACCAGATCACAGACTTCTAATGCCCCTAGTCACATGTCGTTTCTTTTAATCAATACAGGAGATTTAGAAAGTCTTAACACTGCTTCGATCTTGTTGGGGTAAAAATTTCTTAAAGGAAAGTAATTCTAAAAATCAGTCAGTTAAATAGTTTGATAACGTAGACAAAGAGTTACGGACTGTTTTTTCAGTCGTACCAATTTGTTTTATCATTTTATAAAATTTAAATTATCCTAACCAGGAATAAAAACTCTTAAAATGTATAAAAGTGACTTGTCTTTCACTGGTCCACTTTCTGTCATAGTTAACTCAGTTTTGTAATACGAATCTGTGAAGTGAACTTAATATATTTCATTAAACTTTTCCTCAAAAACGTCATACGTACTTTTCCCGTTTTATTAAATATTATGAACGTTATTATGAACACTGAATATCTGACTTGTGTCTTGTACCCAGATAAATACGTCATAATTTCTTTTAGTGGCCTTGCTCATCAGCGCAGTTAATTGAGAGTCAGTTGCTAAAACCAAAATGGTGTCCCATATTCGCATATTCATATATTGCCACCATGACCATTTAATCTGATTATTATGCTGGAATTTAATTTTGAAATCTTTCGAATTAAATTTTGCCGACCCCGGAGATATTTCGCTCTCTGAAAATGCAAGCGATGCACCTCAGGCAGAATCAACAGATAAGGCAGTGTTGGGAGAATAGAGGTCAGGGATTTTGGTCGCGCAACAGCCTGGTCATTATGCATATAAATACGAAGCTCGTTCAAAATTAGACACTGTCCTTCGTCCCATGTTCTCTTATTCACGAAGTGCTAGACGAGAGCAACGCCTGGCTAAGGCGACTGAAGTTGTTCTTCTGTTTCAGTGCAAGGGTTGCCAACATTATCTGCCAGGGCAGTACGAGTTTGGTCTATGGTGTCTAATGTCACCACTGTACAGATGTTATTCGCAATGATTGGTGCTACTGAAGGTTAAAAGGGTGACGGTTACGTGGGGCAGTTCAAAGTTCAGTTTAATTTATAATTGCAGCACACATGAGTTGACGGGAGGATAGTATTCAATGCAAAACTGACTAAAAAATTTGTAACTTAAATGCGTCATGTTTGTGTTTGATTAAATATATTTATTTTTACAGTCCATACACAAACGTTGTTTTTTTTGTGTGTCGTAAATCATAAGTATATCGTCTACGTATCTGCTGTAATATTTGATTTGGTTTTTATTTAATATATTTATAATGTAATTATGTTCAAGATATTGTAAGAATATTTCGGATAGTAACAACGTTTGTGTATGGACTGTAAAAATAAATATATTTGACTAAAAAATATATATCCCTTAAAATTATCACAAATTTTTCATATAGGTTAAGTACTGTTTGACTGTTATCCAGCAAGTAGACTGTTTCGACATTACACAGCTGTAAACATACTTAACACCATCCACACAGGCAAGAACTACATAATATTATGTTTCTCTTTATAAATGCCTTAGGCTAATATGTCGACATGATGCTCCAGCCTGTCAGATCTTCAAAACAGGAAATTTTTGTGCTACATAAATGTGGCGTGAGAACTAGAAGGCAAGTGTGCAGAAGGGAAAAGCCCATCCTATGAATGTAACACATGAAATAAAATATTTTATTTTGTTTCTCTGACAACAATCTTATAAATCCTTATAGCCGTAACTACATTCACCTGCCACGCCACGGTACGAGTCGAGTATTTCACTCTCTCACGTCCAAGGGAACCATTTAACAAGACTCACAGACGTAATGACAAAACTTCTTGAAGCATAGACAAAAATGAGTTGAATTTTGAAGGTTGGGGAGTGAATCGTTAGTTTGATAAGTTTTTATTATTTGTTTAGTGTTCTGTCTGACGACAGGTCCATATGAACAGGATCCTTCCATCCTTTTCTCGGACTGGGACCTGTTCATATACGTTCTTGGCAGATGATCCAGAAGTGCTTTGCCATTGCCTTCTTCTGTGTGTGAATGGAGTAATTGTTGGGATGCCACGGAGGAAAACTCCGTGTTGCCTAGACCACGGCCTTGCCCAACACAAGTTATAAACTCGGGCACCGCCGGGAATCGAACCCGAGACCCCCAGGATTACAAGGCCAGCGTTCTAACCGCTAGACCACCGTGATAAGTATGTCGACATAATCTTCTAGGCCCACGTTGCCATGGTTTTGTAAATTCTGCATGAAGGCAGACATAATTGGATAAAGATTCACATGAACAGAAAGACAATCTCTTTAACAGGTTTGATTTAGTCGTTTATTTTCCTGGTGGGTTAGGGTTCGGTTCTGTCCTGGCCAGCTGCAGAAATTGACCTTTCAGCAAATCGAGGACAGTACCAGTCCTGTGAGTGATACCAAATTCTTTACAGGTATCATAAAATACAGGATAGAGTCGATGCAGATACCAGTGATCTATAGTTGGGAACATATGGTGAAGGCAGTGTTCACCAAATGTCACTAGAACCAGGAACTTGGAGCTGTTGATCTCCGTGCGATCCTTTACAGCATCTATTTGACAAATGCCCCAGTCGCGATCAGCTCTGCAATGAGGTAAGGTTATGTCTCTTAAAATCCTTCAATCAAGAAAATGGATGAAATCTTGTATGTTATAATATTTCTGAAGATTTCCGTCTTCTGGGTTGTTGCGCCGTGTAGTCTGGTCGATGTTAATCAACGTTTCAGAGGTCATACTGCCTCCGTCATCAGAGTATGAAGATTTCCGTCTTCTGGGTTGTTGCGCCGTGTAGTCTGGTCGATGTTAATCAACGTTTCAGAGGTCATACTGCCTCCGTCATCAGAGTATGAAGATTTCCGTCTTCTGGGTTGTTGCGCCGTGTAGTCTGGTCGATGTTAATCAACGTTTCAGAGGTCATACTGCCTCCGTCATCAGAGTATGAAGATTTCCGTCTTCTGGGTTGTTGCGCCGTGTAGTCTGGTCGATGTTAATCAACGTTTCAGAGGTCATACTGCCTCCGTCATCAGAGTATGAAGATTTCCGTCTTCTGGGTTGTTGCGCCGTGTAGTCTGGTCGATGTTAATCAACGTTTCAGAGGTCATACTGCCTCCGTCATCAGGGCGTCATCGCCCTGATGACGGAGGCAGTATGACCTCTGAAACGTTGGTTAACATCGACCAGACTACACGGCGCAACAACCCAGAAGACAGAAATCTTCTTACTCACCGCTGTGAGAACCTCAAGTCTTACATATAATATTTCTCATTGTTCCGAAGTTGTGACTGTTGAAATTGACAGCAACGAAAGCGAAAACAATGTACAAAGCATGTTACACGTTTAGTTTAATCAGACGAAGAGAAAATCTAAATGATGCTCAGGACTTCTTTTGAGATTTTCAGATCATGTCCTGTCAATCTAATCCTCATTTATCTGATCATTGATCACTGTAATAAAAATGATGAAGAGTACAAACTGTAACTTGTAAGTTGTACGATTCAAGTCCACTGTGTGATTTTCTGGAGCCTCCTGTTACTTCCTCTCACATTGGTTAAAATAATCTCCTCAACATCTTAGTCTGTGACACTGGATCTATATTCTTACCTTAAAGTGAGAGACTAAGCACACTAGCACATATTAATGATGAATAGAATCATTGCACCCATTAATTTGCAGAAACATTAACAGCTTTCTTCCTCAACTTAATTTATAAAATGAACCTCTTCAATGATGGTTACAATTTTCTTTTTTATAGCTACATATCTGCAAGAAAATTTACTTCTTATTGAGGTTAAGGCAGCTATCAACATGGTGTAACTCTTTTGTGCATTCTTTGCATGATATGTATTAAATAAACACCATTGGCAATACCAATATGGCTGGGATTGGTAACATTAGGTTAGGTTAGGTTATGTTAGACCAATGTGGGCTAGAATAATGTATGTTAGATTAGGTTATGTTAGACCAATGTGGACTAGAATAATGTATGTTAAGTTAGGTTATGTTAGACCAATGTGGGCTAGAATAATGTTTGTTAGGCAATGCTGGACTTGGCTAGGCTAGAATAAGTTATGCTTAGGTTAGGTTAGGATAGGTTATGGTAGGTCTCTCTCATTTTCATTGGTCATAGAATGGAAAAATGTTTATGTACTATATAATCAGTTGAAGAGGGTGTAAGATTATGGTTTTTGTCTAATTTGAGGTAATATCTCAGCATTTGGAGATTAAAAAAGTTATTAAAATCCCAGTGTGAGGATATCTGACCTCTGATATGAGAAATGAACAGAAGACATTCTGAATAGGAAGAAGAAATGCTACCACTTGACTGCAATTTTAATATTTTTATATAAAACACATGACAACTGAAACGATAAAAAACATAAAACTATGTAATCACTAGGTTCGTGATGTTTTGCAAATTCATAGTACTGTTCGTTTCATATTCATAAATATCTTTCTAACTTGAGAGTTACATACATTATATCCTGTTTCATTACTAAATATTTGTAAAAGTAATCGACCATAAATGTCTGTATGCACGTTCGAAATGTCTGAATCTACTTCACCAAACCTGAAGGACGCTCGGGTTGATTTATCTAAATTTTAGTAAAAAAATATACATTTACCTGGGTGCATCTCCATCATGGAAGATGTCTGGGTGGTGATGTGCTGCATTTAAACCATTCAGAGAGAAGAAAAAGCTCGCAACGACGACAATCCAGCACCACATGACGAAAGCGTTAACAAATGTCGTGCCACTGTATGTGTACATCACAAGCAGTGGGAAGAATGGAATGAGGTCCTCTTTCCTTAACGCAGGCCTCAACCTGCCGTTCAAAGTCAAATATAGCCTGAAACAATAGCATTTCTTTGCTTGAAAGTCCCTGCGGAAAGTAGGTAACACATTATTTTAATTTTACTTATGAAACCACCTTCTAGTTTAAATTACAGCATGGCGATGGTACGACATTTTTATATATTTCAGCACGTAATACTGAATAGAAGCTGGCGATGGTACGACATTTTTATATATTCCAGTACGTAATACTGAATAGAAGACATCATTCACTAAGAAATGCCAAAAGCTGTTTTATCAAAATTTAATGAGTTGTATACGAGGTGCGATCGGAAGGTTTTTAGACTGAGCGTATAAAAACCCGTACACTTATCTCAGGTATTAAATTCATCTACCACCCTCGAAGTAGTTCCCCTGGGAGTGAACACAACGATCCCAGCGCCGCTGCCAAGCCTGGAAGCATCCCTGGAAATCTTTCTTTGTCAGCCTGTCAAGCACCATCTGCGATTCTGCCTAAATCTCTTCTATTGTCTCAAATCTCCTTCCCTTTAGCTGAATTTTCATCTTGGGGAAGAGGAAGAAGTCACACGGAGCTAA